CATACATATATATATATATATAAATTTAATACAATAAAATATACAGGTCTTTTATGTTCAGTTAGATGAGTTTTGACAATTGTATATTCCCATGTTAACACCGTGCAAAACATTTTCATAATCCCAGAAAGTTCCCTCCTGGTCCTTTACGTCGATTCCAACCCCATCTCACTTCCTTTAGAGGCAAGTATTTATCCAGTTTCTATTACAAATTTACTACTTAAGCCTGTTTTAGAGCTTCATACAAATAGAATCATAGAGTATTTACTCTTTATATCTGGTTTCTGTCACTCAACATAATCCTATTTTAATTCATTTAATTTATTCATTTAATTCATCGTGTTGTTTCAGTGTTGAGACAGTGGTTTCTTCCTTTTCATTGCTGATTAGTGTTTCATGCATCAGCATCTGTTCCATGAGTCAGAATTTGTTTATCCATTCCCTTGTTGCTGAACATTTGTGTGGATTCTCCTTTGTTAGATATTATATATAAGATTGCTATAAACCTTCTTATACAATCTTTTCGTGGATATAAGTTTTTATTTCTTCTGGATAAATATCTAGGATTAACTTTGTTAAGTCATAGGGTAGATGTATGTTTAATTTTATGAGAAACTGGCAAAGAGTTTTCCAAAATGATTGTAACATTTTGCACCCTTACTGCAAATGTATGAGAGTTCCAGTTGCTCCGTGTCATCTTCAACATTTGGTATTGTCATTATTTTTTAGCTACTCTGTTGGATGTGAAATGATATTTCTTTGTGGTTTTAGTTTGCATCTACCTGGTGACTAGTGAAGCTGAGCTCCTTATGTCTTTTAATGAACAGAGGTTTTCCCTTTTATGTTTAGTGCTTTTTGCCCAAATATTTGCCTGCCCCAAAGTCACAAAGCTTACTATGCTTATTATGTACTTCTGGAAGCATTATACTTTTAGTTTTACATTTAGGTCTTTGATTTGATTAGCTTTACATTTTAGGTCTTTGATTCACCCTGAATTAATGTTTCTGTGTGGTGTGAGATAGAGAACAAGTTCATCCCCTTCCAACCCCACATGTTTAGTTTTTCCCTCATGGTTGTTGAAAAGACTTTCCCTTTCCCATTAAAATTGCCTTGGTGCTTTTTTTTTTTTGAAATTCTAGTAAACATATATGTGTAGGAGTATTTCTGAACTCTTTTCTACTCTACTGATCTGTTTTTCTATACTTATGTTGATACTGATGTCAAAGGCTCTGCACTGGTACAGAATAGAATCTCAGAGACAGAGTTTTGGGTAAAGTAGAAAAAATAGCTTTATTGCTTTGCCAGGCAAAGGGGGACACAGCAGGCTCCTGCTTCGGAAAACTAATTGTCCCAACCCCAGAGGATGGTGATGAAGGGTTTTATAGCAGTGGTTCAAGGGTGGGGTCTCTGACAAGATTAAGGTGTGTGCAGGGTCTGTACTCCTTTAATCTCATCTCACATAGTCAGTATCCTAATCTTGTTGAGCTTCTCTGGTCCCTTTAATCTTGCCTCAGGTGGTTTCTTTTTTTTTTTACATTTAGAGTACTGTACTGTATTTATTGATACTGTATGCTTTTTTTGTTGTTGTTGTTTTGTTTTAAAATCTTTAGTTTTTTACATCTTTATTGGAGTATAATTGCTTTACAATGGTGTGCTAGTTTCTGATTTATAACAAAGTGAATCAGTTATACATATACATATGTTCCCATATCTCTTCCCTCTTGCATCTCCCTTCCTCCCACCCTCCCTATCCCACCCCTCTAGGTGGTCACAAAGCACAGAGCTGATCTCCCTGTGCTATGTGGCTGCTTCCCACTAGCTATCTATTTTACCTTTGGTAGTGTATATATGTCCATGCCACTCTCTCATTTTGTCACAGCTTATCCTTCCCCCTCCCCATATCCTCAAGTCCATTCTCTAGTAGGTCTGTGTCTTTATTCCTGTCTTACCCCTAGGTTCTTCATGACATTTTTTTTCTTAAATTCCATATATATGTTTTAGCATACGGTATTTGTCTTTCTCTTTCTGACTTACTTTACTCTGTGTGACAGACTCTAGGTCCATCCACCTCATTACAAATAGCTCAGTTTCGTTTCTTTTTATGGTTGAGTAATAATCCATTGTATATATGTGCCACATCTTCTTTATCCATTCATCCAATGCTGGGTACTTAGGTTGTTTCCATCTCCTGGCTATTGTAAATAGAACTGCAATGAACATTTGGTACATGACTCTTTTTGAATTTTGGTTTTCTCAGGGTATATGCCCAGTAGTGGGATTGCTGGGTTATATGGTAGTTCTATTTGTAGTTTTTTAAGGAACCTCCGTACTGTTCTCCATAGGGGCTGTACCAATTCACCACCAACAATGCAAGAGTGTTCACTTTTCTCCACACCCTCTCCAGCATTTATTGTTTCTAGATTTTTTGATGATGGCCATTCTGACTGGTGTGAGATGATATCTCATTGTAGTTTTGATTTGCATTTCTCTAATGATTAATTATATTGAGCATTCTTTCATGTGTTTGTTGGCAGTCTGTATATCTTCTTTGGAGAAATGTCTATTTAGGTCTTCTGCCCTTTTTTGGATTGGGTTGTTTGTATTTTTCTTATTGAGCTGCATGAGTTGCTTGTAAATTTCAGGTGGTTTCTTGACTGCTCCTCCCCTGATAAACAATCTTCCCTTTGGAATTCAGGGAAGGTCATGGAGGCTGGAGTCTTGCCTACAAGGAATGGGGAGGGGGGCTGAGTGCGGCAAAAAATGACCTCCATGTGCCTGGGAGCCCCACAAGGCCCCGCCTGGTTTCAATATCACAGTGTGTTTATTATTGTAGTTGTATAATAAGTTTTGACATCAGATAATGTATTTGTTCTCTCTTTGTCAAGTTTCTTTTGGTTATTCAATGTGCATTTCCATATGAATTTTTAAATTTACAAAAAACATCTATTTAAATTTTGACTGGAATTTCGTTGTATCTATTTTTTTAACTCAAATATATGTTTTATTTTATTTTATTCTTTTAATTTATTTTATTTTTGGCTGCATTGGGTCTTCGTTGCTGCGTGCGGGCTTTCTCTAGTTGCTGTGAGAAGGGGCTAGTCTTCATTGCGGTGCGCGCGCTTCTTATTGTGGTGGCTTCTCTTGTTGGGAAGCACAGGCTGTAAGCGTGCGGGCTTCAGTAGTTGTGGCACATGGGCTCAGTAGTTGTGGCTCGTGGGCTCTAGAGTGCAGGCTCAGCAGTTGAGGCGCACAGGCTTAGTTGCTCCAAGGCATGTGGGATCTTCCCGGACCAGGGCTCGAAACTGTGTCCCCTGCATCGGCAGGCAGATTCTTAACCACTGCACCACCAGGGAAGTCCTCACTGTATCTATTAATCAAACTATATTTTAAAGAAGTTTGTGTTAGATTTGTGTTATTTCTATTTTAAATATATGACAGAGCTCATCCTTGAAGCTATCTGTGCCACTTTTTCTTTCATACAATGTAGATTACTTGGTGTATCTCTAACAGCTCTTTCCATTGGGAAAATTTTCCCTCCCCACTATCTTTCAAGGGCAACCCTGATTGTAGCAATAATGCAACTGTTGTTTATTTTTAGCTTGCACACATGTACCAAGACCAATTGTTGACAAACCAAGCTCAGGCTTTTTCATCCTCCCTCAGCTGATCAGAGATCCCTAATATGGCCATAGGTGTGAGCTGAAGGAAGAGCACAGGTGCAGCTCTAGAGAGTGACATGCAGTGTACTCATGCCCTCTGGTCATACTCTGGTATGATTGCAGATGAACCATTTTGACCGACTGCTGCTGGGTTGGCCCCAGTTTATGATTTGGTGAGCCCCACAACTGACATTTCCAATGTAGTTAGGTGTCAGCCATTTAGTCCAAATGACAGGCCTTCTTGCGCCATAGCTTTGACCTACTGCAGAGCTCTTTCCTGCTCTGGGCCCCACACAAAGCTAAGGGTATTCCTAGGTGTATAATGTACTGTTCCCAGAACCCAAACATGCCTACTGTGTCCCCAGAACCCAAAGAAGGTACTGTGCTTCCTCCTCTGTGGTAGTAGGTGCAAGATGTGTCTTTTACTTTGGAGGGGATAGCCCAGCCCTCTCCTGATCACCAGATCCATAAAAATGTCACCAAAGTGTCAGGTCCCTGAATCATCATAGTACATATTTATCTTGCATGTATCTTATGAAGTCTTCTAGCATACTCTTCAATCAGCATGACATTGACAGAATGAATCCATATCATTTTCAGTGGGATTTCAAGATGATGCAAGTATCTTCAGACTATATAACTTCAGAAGGAAGAGAGTCAACATAGTCCTGAGCTAAAGCTGCAACTGAATATTATTTATGTCACATGAGTAAAAACTGTTTCTGATCCTCTTTCTAATTGGAATTTTAAAAAGCACATTTCCTAAATTAATTACCATAGACCATGTACCTAAGGTCTTATTAACCTATTTTGTCATATTTATCTAGCAATAAAACCTCATCCAGCCCAGTAGCTGCAATCAGGGATATCACTTGTTTGAGCTTGTAGTTTTCTACAAGTCACCCTCCAAAACCATCCAGTTTTTGCAGGTGACTTAAATGAAGATATGATAGTGAGTAGTGACTATCACCCCTGCATCCTTTAGGTCTTTTTTTTGCGGTACACAGGCCTCTCACTGTTGTGGCCTCTCCCGTTGCGGAGCACAGGCTCCGGACACGCAGGCTCAGCGGCCATGGCTCACGGGCCTAGCCGCTCCGCGGCATGTGGGATCCTCCCGGACCGGGGCACGAACCCGTGTCCCCTGCATTGGCAGGCGGACTCTCAACCACTGTGCCACCAGGGAAGCCCTCCTTTAGGTCTTTAATGGTAGCATGAATCTCTACTATCTCCCTACTCCCAGGATGCAATTTTCCGTTGTTTGCTATCTTGGCTGGGGAGGGCTAGGGCAGTTTCAGAGATTTCCGCTTGGTCTTCTTCACTCTGATATTTCTTTCCCTGCAGGCCAATGATCCAGTACGGGGGTTCCTCTAACTGCAAATATGTCAATTCTAGTTATGCACTTAGGAGTTTGAGAAATGATCACCAGGTAGGTCTGGGGACCTAGTGTATCCCCTGTCACTGGAACTTAGCCAAGAATTTTTTTTTTTTTTTCCCTGCCCTTATAAATCTCTACTCTAATGGGAAGGACCAGGATGACACTGGATCTCTGGATATCAACTCAGACTCCGTGTTCCTTGCAATGTTGAGATATTCCCTTTCCCCTTCCCTAGGGGGCTTCTTAATTAGGTTGACCCTTCAGTGCCATCCCAAGCTGGGGTGAGAGCGTCAAGCCTTTTTGTCCCTATGTTGATTAGTCATTGGATGTGAGCTGCCCCGAAGAGGACTTATATGTTTGCCAGTGCATTTCCAGAAGTCGTAGTAATTAAGTCCTCCATTCCTGAATGGGCATTTGGGTGGTGCATCACAGTGTCTACCACAGAGATGCTCTTGGAAACCATATCTGTATGGAAGTAGGGGATGCATGACTGGGCAGGAGGAGAAGCTGAACTGTGATGGAGTTGTAACAGAGACCACTGCCAATTCTACAAGGAGCTCTGGAACTGGCATGACCCTTCAGAGTTGTCCCGAACGGATGGCCTTTGTACCCTTGCTTCAACCAGCATTGGATGCAGGCTGTCCTGGGGGAAAGGGTTTAATCTTGGGCCGAGGACAATACTCAAGGAGGGGATAAACTGCGAGCTGCCAATAGTTCAGCTGGGGAAATGAGTGCCTTACTCCTGAAGAGAATATCTGGATGGTGAACCACAGCCTCCATCATAGACGTAATCAGCACGTAGATGATAATTTGGGCCGTGGATGGGCTCACTGAGGAGAAAATGCAGAGAGTAAAATAAAAAGGTCTCAAAACCTAGCCCTACGTCAAACTCTTAAAAACTAGCTAGAGAGCTGGTGACAGAGATGGAGAAGACAGTCAGTATGGTAAAAGAAAACCCAGGGGATAGGGTAGAGGGTGCAAAATAGGTGAAGGGGATTAAGAGGTACAAACCTCCAATTATAAAATAAGTAAGCCACAGGGATGTGATATACAGCATAAGGAATATGGTCAGTAATATTGTAATAACTCTGTGTGGGTACAAGTGGATACTAGACTTATTGTGGTGAGCATTTCCTAATGTATGCAAATGTCAAATCACCATTTAGTACACCTGAAACTAACATAATATTGAATATCAACCATACTTCAATTTAAATAAATAAATAAGACAAAAAGAAAGAGAAAAATAAAATAGAAAGTGTCACTAAAATCAAGAAAGAAGGATGGAATGGTTCACCATATGGAATGATGCTGAGAGGCTGACAAGTATAAGACAGAGCATGGCCATTGCCTTGTCAGCCTGGAGGTCATTGTTAACTTTGACCAAAGCTCTTCTAGTGGCTAGTAGAGACAGAGGCCAGATTAGAGTGTGTTGAAGGATAAAATGAAGTTCAGGCAGGAGAGTCAGCATATTCTCAAAACTTTTTTGAGTTTTACTGTAAAAGGGAACATAAGCATAGGCGGGGATGGTAGCTGGAAGGAGACAAGAGTTCAAAGAGGATTTTGCATCTTTTTAATTTGTGCTTGCTTTTTCATTTGATAGCTACGAAAGTATGTTTGCAAGTTGGAGGAAGAGATGGACGAATGCTGGAGAAGAGTTAAGAGAAGAAATGGAATCGAAGTCTAGTGGGCAGAGGCAGTGGGTCCCAGGGCAGAACTGGAGAGACTGGCCTTTGGTAAGAGCAGGACCAGGAGAAAAGAAGATGGGGAAAGGTATGAGCAGAATTAATGATTCGGTGGTGAGACAATAAAGAAGTTCCAACTGATGTCTTGTATTTTCTCAATGAGATATAATTGCTTTGAGAAGTAAATAATCTGCTTGTACACTGCAGCTCTGTTCCTACCCTAAACTATCAATATAATGGCCCAAGGCTCTGCTTCTCATCATTACACAGGAAGAGAGAACAAGGTGTGGCTTGCAAAGCTGGCACATGTCACTTTGCTTTTTTGCCTTCTTTCTTTTTTCTTCCATTTAGAGTCATCTGTGCCAACTCTCAGACTGGTAAACAGAGGGTGGGTGGGGCTAAAGGTCAAAAGGTGATAGATCTCAATCTAAACTCATTGGCTTGATCAGCTGTGTTTCCTCATTATAATCAGGAAATCCTGGAGTGACCCCAGCCAGCAAGAGCACATCTGGGGCGACAAAGAAGGGAGGGAGGGGAAGGAGAAGAGGGAGGGGTCGTGTAGCAAGGAAGGGAGGGGCTCCTTTCTCTTGTCTGGGCTCAAATTGGATCTTCGTTTCTTTAGTCCATATCTTTGCATATATTCAAATAAACGTGTGCACATTCGATCTCTGACATATTTTTTCCCTTTGAGACTCTGTTGTTTTTATAATCTCTTTCCTGACTAGAGGGATTTCATTGCATTTACAGATAAGGTTTGTTGGTTTCCAGATACAGCCAAGATGGTCTACATTCTATCTTGTTATGTTGTAAAGCATACAGATATTTGTGGTAAGACAAAGACTATAAAATATAACTATTAAATATGTTTATAAACATGGGAAAATAGTTTAGCAATAAATGAGGATTTTTAAAAATGCAGGTCAATAGATAGATATGTATGGAAGTATATATATTATTTTTTTAAATGGCTAGCATGTATTAAGTGATTATGATCCAAATATAAAGTTAGCTCTGAGTATTGAAAATACAGGTGATGTTTTTATTTTAAAATTTTATCAGTAGTTATTAATTTTTCTATATGCATTACTTTTGTAAATAAAAAAAAATAGAAGTTCATTTTAGAGCCGGTATCAGGTCCCTGGTAAACCCTGTCATTTACATACAAATTTTGTGGTTCCTCCTCTCTCTGCTTGCAACTCATAATTGTATCAGACATAGGTTTGGGAGTTCTTTCCTTTCTTCTGCTCTGGTCTGACTTTGTTCTTTTCAACACGTGCCATTGTTTTGATGGGGCTGAGTTTGGAATGCCCTCTAGAAGCTGAGTATCTCCTGGGCTTGGTAAATTACTAACAACCAATTTCAAGAGTTAAGCAACATTAGCTTATTCTAATTCCTGCTCTCCTCTCAAAGAAGCTTTCTGAGTTTTGAAAAGCCTATGCATACCTTTACTGGTGTTTGTGGCTTTGACCTCAGAATCTCTTAACTACTTGAATGCCAGAAGCGTTCCATCCCTTGACTGCGGGCTTGCAATTTATCAGAAAGAGGGCAATCAGTGCCTCTTCCTCACTCGAAATTGTCTTATTTCCACTCTACCTCCATTGCATCTCTCTCTGTACAATGAGAAAGAAAACTTTGTCCCTTCTCTCCCATAAAGTTCAAGCACAAAGAGATATGGTAAAACTGTGTTCAGAGGAACCAGCTATGTTCTTGTATCACATGTCTGTCTTATTCCAATCAGGAAAAGTTACCCCGGCAACCAAATAACAGAGGTTTTGGTTTGGGGGATTTTTTTTTTTTTTTTTTTTACCTCTAGTCTCTGTTTTCTATAAATTTAGTTTCTTCTTATAGAGTTAGCCTGCCTCCTAAATTTTGAAAACCACATGATTCAGTGAAGCCTGCTTATAATGACAAGCATATTGTTAAAATTGCTGGAAATCTTGGTTGTATTTGTCTCTGGAAGTTGAAATTTATCTGAATATTGGCATCCCACAGTTCTTATTAAATCTCCCTTTTTCCTTTGGGGATTACAACTGAAAGGGCTGGCAACACGTCCCTGAAGGTGACATTTTAAAGAGAAGGAGTGTTTGTAATCCCTGCTAGAAAAGAAGGGCCCAGAGAGCCATTAGAATCACATTTCCTGATTGGTCCAATAGGCTCTCTGACCACCTTATTGGCTGATCTTCCTAATATGATGTTATGTTTTCATAGTTTCCAGGGAGTATTTTCCTGAACTGATTATGCTTATTTGACCTATAGGAAAAGAATGCTCTTTTTATAAGTCTAAACTTTTCTTTTGGGAAGCTACTCCTTGCCCCTTAAGTCCTTTGAATAAGACCCTAATTAGAATTAAAAAGAAAAAGTATAAGAAAGCACACTGAGAGGCTAAATTGTCGTTGTTGTTGTTGTTTTAATTTCCTCCCTTGTATCTGCTATGCATCCCTGTTTGTTTCTCATTACTGATTCCCCTGGGCTTGTCTGGATCTGTTTACCCCTATCAGTCAATTAGTGTTCCTCCACTTCAATCCAAAAGCCCGTTTTCTGGTTAAGGACCGGCCTGGGCCTGGTAAAGAAGGCTAAATTTTAAAGCTAGGCCTGGTCACAACTAGAAACGTGATGCAGAACGCACACCCTATTCCAAGTGGATTGGTGACTGCTTCTTTGTGAAGATCAGCATATTGACTGCATTTCTCCCCCTGTCAATTCTGGCAGGATGTTATGACATCACTCCCAAAGAAAGTAAAGCAGAGGATTTGGCGAAGGGGCCAGAAGCAGATCCCCCTGAACATACCACTTCTCTGCTCAGGGTGTTAAGAGGATAACCTTTAAAAATTGTGATTTACCATACTGTACACCTGTAACTTATATTGTACATCAACTATACTTCAGTTAAAAAAAATGAGTAAAGAGTCTCATCCGGATATATGCACCATTGTCTGTCACCTCAGGCTGGACATCGTGGATGGCTCTAAATGCACATGTTATTCTGCAGGGACCCTTGGATTAAATGACATGTACAAAAATAAAACTCATGGATACAGATGTTATGTGATTCGACAATACCCCTGTTTATACAAATCATTTCTTAAAGTTTTCTTTTTTCTTTCCTTTAAAAATCATTTTTTTCCTTCAAAAATCATTTTTTCTCTGCTGCCTTTATTATTTTTTTAATATCTTTATTGGAGTATAATTGCTTTACAATGTTGTGTTAGTTTCTGTTGTACAACAAACAAAGTGAATCAGCCATATGCATACATATATCCCCATATCCCCTCCCTCTTGAGCCTCCCTCCCACCCTCCCTAACCCACCCCTCTAGGTCATCACAAAGCATTGGGCTGATCTCCCTGTGCTATGCAGCAGCTAACCATTTTACATTTGGTTGTGTATATATGTCAATGCTATTCTCTCTTAAAATTTTCTTCCCAGCTTCCCCTCTTAAAATTTTCTTAAAACTTCTTAAAATTTAACAATTAATAAATATTACACATTGAAGTTGGTCTTTACTAACACCTTATGCCCATCAATAACCAGTTATTTCTTCCAAGTGCCTCTGATATCATCAGTAGTGAAGTTTCCTGAAAGGTCACAGCAGCTTCAGACAAAGAATCATGCATCTCAAAATAACAGAGAAACTTGAGGAAATAGCCTTGACTTCTTCCAGGCCATAAAGGATCTGCACCCCTACCCCCTTCCTCTGAAACAGGAACCTGGAGATCTTTCTTTGTTCTGAGAAGGGGAGCCCAATAGGAATCCTCCCTGTTTCCCTTAAGGACAAGCCAATCAAGGAAATCAGAGGGAAAAGGGAACGGCAACAGCAGAGGAAAGAGATTTAAACATGCTTTAGTTTTAGTTTGTATAGTCTTTTTGAAAGTTCTCCTTCTTTTATCCCTCTCCCTTCCCTAATCCTTAAAATGTCAGTCACTTAACCACCCTGAATCATCATTTTGATCTGATACTAAGTCCACCGCGATTCAAGAGGATGCTGAGAAGTAACTCATAGCAAATAACTATACATTTTTAGGTAGAATTAATCTTCCTTCTCATTCCCAAAGACACACTCATACACCCACTCACTTTTTTCTAGAGTGAATGCCCAATCAGGTTTTTTTTTTTTACCTAGCCACCCATTATTTTTAGCAAAACCTCACAGAATAAAAAAGTATACAGGCAGGGCTCCACACACCACCTCCAAATGCTGCAATAGCACAGTTGTAATTGGTGAGTGAGTTGACCATCCATGAACAGAGGCTGAAAGCAAACTTCAAAGGGCCTTACCTGTGATGGCCAGGATTTTAGAGATTAGGATTCCAGTATATTTGATTTTCAGTAACAATGGGGCAGAGCATGTGAGTGAGGATACAAGAAGTAAAACAAGAGAATAAGACGGAAAATATAAAGAAAGGGAAGAAGATAAGAGTGGGTGGTAAAAGATGCTAAAAAATGGGAAATTAAATATGATTTTTAAAATTAATAATAACCTAAACAGAAAAGGGAAAAACAATTTGGCCTTCAAGGACAAAACAGAAGAATGGAAGAGGAAGTGGTTAAATTAGCCCAGGAAAAAAAAAAGCTGGAACCAAAATAATATGAAGACCTCCACTGTTAGCAATTTTGAGCATCCGAAATCTGTGTTTCTTGTCATTTCCTGACTTGTACTGCCCTCTTTACCAACACCAAGATCAAAATAAGCAGTCATCAGACCGTTAGTCAGCACTTCTAACAGAATTGCATCAAGGATTAATCATCTCTGAAAAGGAGTTCCCCATTCTTCCCTTCAAAGTACAGTTGCCCCTTGGTATCCACGGGGGATTGGTTCCAGGCCCCAAATCCACAGACGCCAAAATCTACCGATGCTCAGGTCCCTTATAGAAAACGGTGTAGTATTTGCATATAACCAATCCACAATCTCCAGCATACTTTAAATCATCTCTGGATAACTTATAGTACCAAATGCAATGTAAATGCTATGTAGTTGTACATACAAGGTAAATGCTTTGTAAATAAATAGTCACTGGTGTGTAGCAAATTCAAGTTTTGGTTTTTGGAACTTTCTGGAATTTTTTTTTTTCAAATATTTTCCATCTGTGGTTGACTGAATGTGGGTTGGATGCAGATCCCATGGATATGGAGGGCCAGCTATAATGATTTTTAGATAGTTATTATAAGATAATTTTTTAAATTTAATTAATTAATTAATTAATTTATGGCTGTGTTGGGTCTTCGTTTCTGTGCGAGGGCTTTCTCTAGTTGCGGCAAGTGGGGGCC